GTGAATTGTAACATTAACAGGCTTTTTTTACGATGATGATGATGTTGTCACCACGTGCATAAAGACTGCATACTTGACTTTCTTTTGGTACATTGATAACAAGTGGTACAAGCTTCTGTGTTCAGTGCTTTTGGAAGCAAAACAAATTTTTTAGCTCAAAGAGCTAAGGTGCTGCACACACTGTGACATCTTGCCCCAATAAGAAAAACTAAATCCCAAAAATACAGCTAGGAGTTTGGGGTTATTTTTATTCAAGAGAACAAGACTTGACTTCGTTTTATATCTACTCTTCTGTCTGGACACATCTGCTGAAAAGGAACATGCAGGCCCTTTTCCACTTTTCTTGAAAAATTGGCCACGAGAGGATACTTTATATTATATTTCCTGTTTGTTTGTTTTGTGTGTTTATTGTTTTGTCAACCTACATCGTAATTGCTACAAACAATGGAGCACCTTAAAGGAACTTATCTTTTAACATTTACATGAAAATGTTCATCCCCATTTGACTGCCAAAGAAGGCACTCTATCACATGTTTTATCTCTCACTATATTCATTTATTCTGAATGATACTGCCCTTGGAGGGTTATTTCAAGTCTTATTTTCAAATAGTTGTATACAACATGGGGCAACCATAGAAACCTTATAATTGGTGTAGGGTACTCTTTGCATAGCTGACCAGTCGAGAGAGCATAATGTTGCTTTCATATACATTATAGAAGGCCCCTCTGAAGCTTTTTTCCCCTGACCAATGGGGCTTACCTATGCATCTGTAAGTGCCTATGGGATGGTCTATAGGTGGAATTCTGGGTATATATGGGCTATGACGAGCTAAATAAACTCTGCAGGTAAGCCATCATTATTTAAAGGTCATACTAGGTAAATTAGTAGTCTCAAAACTGGGATGGACCCTGAAGCGTGTCACTCACACACAAAACCCCTAACAAGATAAATCCAGCATCCTTAGAGAGGCGCACACTTGCAATCCCAACTTAATCCCCTCAGCCCTCACTCACATACAGACTGTGGATGTCAGTGTGCAGAAGATTAGAGCACACCCTCTTGTCAAACTATTGGCACATCCATCACTTAGCATCTTGTGCAAAGAGGGAGGACTGTGACTCCATGCAGTGAGTCCACTTAGTCCAACACAAAGTGCTTAATTGCTCTGGATGATTGTCCTTAGAGGTGGAGAGGAGAGGTAGGTAATAGGCACTTACAAGGTCTGAAGAGGGAGGGCCGGCTGAGAATGAATGGACGATGTCATGAATGATGCCCGCTGTGCTTTCTGCCATATCAGATTCCTCATCAGCAGACGCGGGCCCTCCATTTGCTTCACCCCTTCCTGTCTCAGTTAACAGAGCAGGGCCCGATTTGGCCACCAGCGACAACAAAAGAAAAACAACTTCAGGAACGTGAATTAAACATACCTGCAGATGCTTTGGACTGTGTGTGTGAGGTCTGCAGGCCCCTGCAGGCGGCGTGAATTATTAACAGGGCCGGTGAGCGAGGCAGGGCACCAGGCCGGGTGTTTTGTTACCCCTGCCTCACTCAGCACGAGTATACAGCATTAGATAACACTATCCATCCACCTGAATTGTGTGCTTGTGTGTGCGTGCATTTGGCTACTTTAGATGATTCTACCATTTGATACCGCAGGAGCTCTTGCTGCTTGGAAACTACTCCTGACAGAAAGCCTATACATCCCCTACCAAACAGTCTGGCAGCTTTAACTGCTGTAATGTCTCAATATATAACGTTCTGTAACATGCAACAACTCATTTAAAATAAGTTGACCTTCGATTTATTTTAGGGCATTTGCCTTTATTTGACAGGACAGTAGATACAGTTGGAAATCATAATAGAGCAGGGAGTGACACAGCTTGGACTCAAACCAAGGCCACCCACTTGGACGACTATAGCCTCTGTACATGGGGCGCGACCTAACTACATCCTTTTTTATTTATTTTTATTTTTTGGGGGGGGCTTTTTATGCCTTTATTATAGAGATAGCTCAGTGGAGAAAGTTGGAAATCAGGAAGACGATTAGTAGGTAATAACATGCGGGAAAGGAGCCACAGGTCGGATTCAAACCCGGGCTGCTCGCTTGGTGGACAATAGCTTCTTTTTAGGTAAATAAAAGTTTTCCTCCTCTTTGAGAGACTCTGTCGTCTGTCCTAAAAAATAAAAATAAAAATCTAAACTAACAAAAGATTAGCAATCCTCTGTGCAAACAAAATATGTCATTTTTATTCAGCATTAGTATTTTGTTTACATAGTTACAACGTGGACACTCATGACAGAAAAACTGAGGACTTAACGTCATTTTGAAATCAAAGTGAAGTGTTCTTTAGAAAAGCAAGTTAAAAGGAGGTCATATTCAGGGTGTGGACTCGAACAAACAAGACAAGCGTTACAAAGACAGCTGAAAACACCGGGGAGTCAGGAGTGAGACAAAGAGGTGGACAAGTGGAACAAGGAAGTGCGCTGTTATTGACGACAGAATAGAGAACGTCTTCAAGCTGAAGAATAACAAGAAACCAGAGACGTGTCAGATGAAGCACAGAAACATATTAGTGAAATAGAATATGGACACTGAACATTATTATGGGTTTCGACATTAATACTGAAATAATAATGGAAAAAGTTACATGTTCAAAAAAAAAAAAAAAAAAAAGTATTCCTTACCAGACTCTGTTCATAGCTTGTTTAGCACCTGCAGGCCCGCCCAGCTCTCGTAACAGCTGTAGTTGTTTCAGGTGAAAATGATGATGATTCAAGTATAACAGTCGTGTGTGTTTTCAGCGGGGCTGGGTCAGGCTCTGCAGGTGTAATGGTAGCTCATAGAGAAAGGGAGATCACAAAGCTTTTCTTAATTATCAGACAGGATGTGTGAACACACTGGAAGCATGTAGATATGAGGTTAGGTCCTCAACAACTTTGACAAGTTACGGTTTTTTTTACATTTACTTCGCCATATTCGCCATGTGAGTACATCTCTGATGATAATTCCAATTGAGGCTGCGACTTGAAACTTTATGAAGTAGATTTTCTGAGTGTGCTGCTGGAACGAAGGAGTGAAAAACAGTATCTGTATGGCCTGTTGGATTGACAAACTGTGCATCTTGAAATGTTTGAAGAGATTTGCGTGTCCCGTGTTCACAAGCACCTAGCATTCTAAGATGTCCACTATAGCGTTATACCAAATCCCTAAAAAACTCTACAGGAACCATGTCCAGTCCTCTCTGTACTTCAGAGTCACTCGGATACATGGATTGCAGAAGCCGTGTAGTTAACTTCTGTTGCAGAAACAAATTCACTCTTTTTTCCCCTTCATGTGAAATAAGGCGGAAAAACAAACGAAAAATAATGGATTGATAAACAAGACGGAAAAAAAATAACTACAGAAGGCAACTTCAGTGCTCAAACTGAAGAACCTTCGGACTTCAAAAACGTTTGCATGGGCTCACACTCAGTATGATGACATGACTTCACAGAATAGCCCCAAAAAGCCAGTGCTAGTTTAGCTCTCAGCGGGTGAAAAAAAAAAAAACAAGTCTCTCATCCACAACACAAACTCATTCTAAAGCTGTACAGTAAACTCTAACAAGCACACATTATCTGACTGAGCATTCTTCATACACAAATATCTGCGTTGCAAGGAATCATTCGCACAGTGTTACTGTGATAAAACAGGGTCGACGTCAACCTAAACATCTGCAGCCATAAGACTTACAATATGTGAAAAGTGAATTAAATCACAGAGGAATGACGTGAGAAGCCATGTGTAGCACTAAACATGGCAATCAAGTGATGAATCCGTACTTATTAATAAATAAATAGAGGAGGGATGCAGAATTGAGATGTGGGACTAGCGAAGCAAGTTATCATGAATCAATAATGCTCTGACTCATCCCTGATCACCTGACTGGATGAGTCTGAGCACATGTCTGTTCTAGCTGGGGCTTATCCACAGTAGCTTTGGTAGTTTAGCATTATTGTATCCTTAGATAATCACACAATCATCCTTTTCACGCTGATATGCCAAACAGCAGTCAATGGGGCTCTTCTCGACAAGAGCTAACTGTCATGAAGGAGACAATTGGGCTTTTCACACTTAAGTGAAGTCACAGGTTGGCACTACCAGGTGCAAAGTGGGGGAAAAAATTGAGGAATATTGTCAGCACTATTGTGGATTTAAAAAAAAAAAAAAACAGAGCCACTGTGAATACTGTGGATAATGCCACAGCAGAAAGCAGCATGCAGGCTCACAATGACTGTTTTTTCACCGACGTAAACAAGACAATGTTAGCCAAGAGGAGGGAGTGTACATTTACCATCATGCTATCACACTGCAGATACATGAAATAAGATTACGCGTAATAAGGTCCATCGTTAAAACACATTCGTACAGTAATAAATAGATTTGTCTTCTATTTACAGTTTTTACCAGACTTCTTTTTCTTTTTTTTTTTTTTGCAGTTTTTGACAGGAAAGTCCTAAATAATTCAACAGTTATCAGTCTCGTTTTGTTCCGGCGGTGAGGGGGGGTTGGCGCTCAGGATTTCCCGTCTTTGCCATCCTTCCACTGGTGAGGAGGACAGAGAGCATGCAGGAAGGGGAAGACACGCATGTAGAAACAATGTCCTGCACTGTGTCTGTCCTCTGCATCTTCCTTAAGGACTTTCCCATTTGGTATAGTAACGCTGTAGCTGCTGCTGTTAGGAGTTTGCGTTAAATTCGCCTCAGTGCACACATACACATACATCACACACACACACACACACACACACACACACACACACACACACAGATTCGAGCACCCATTGCCATGCTCTGTGATCCTACAGCCTCTCGACGCAGACAAATGAAAACCTTTCCATCAAAGCTTATATAAAAACCACTAAATAAATCTCAGAGCTGAGTCCTCGGGGGCAACTTCTTCTACTTCTTCTTCTGACGTCTTCTTCCCTCTTGGCCGTTCCAAACATTAATTTATCTTCTTCTCGTTTTTCAAAGAGCCATTGCGTTTGTGTTTCCCGTTAGCAATGCTCTCGCTATGACAATGTCCATTAGCCATGTTGCTCTCATCCCTGACGACGGCAACTCCTCTGCCCTGGTCCTTGACGTTCCCCCTGCACAGTCCCACCAACCATCGCAAGGCAAGATGGTCAGAGCCAGGGCGGACCCTACGGCGAGAACCACATCCACCAGGAAGTACTGGTAGGGGGACACCTCGTATACGGCGGAGCGCAGGTGGTTGGCACCGTGGTGACGGAGGATGTAGCATATCCAGTAGACGGCTCTGGTGACAGGGTGGCCCGGCTGGTCTTTGTGGATGTTGGAGAGGACGCGGGCTTGCTGGCGATACCTAATCAGGGAGAGACAAAGGTATGACACAAGTAGTCAGAACGATCTCTCTCTCTCTTGTGCCTCCATATAAGGTCACCAGGTGGCACTGATAAAAAAATTACACAAATAGAACGAATCGCTGTGTGTGATGTTTGTGAATCTAACCTGTTGTCTTTGATGACGCTGGTCAGGGCGGTGTACAGGTCTTCTTCGCTCATGTACTTCCAGTGTAGCATGATACCCATACCTTTGGCTGACACGCGAGTCATGGTGTCATAGTGATCACCGAATAAAGGCACACCGACAACCGGCACGCCGTGGTACATGGCCTCGTAGATGCTGTTCAGACCGCCGTGACTCAGGAAGGCTTTGGTGTTGGCGTGGCCTGTGTAACAGGAGGGAGGAGCGATGTCGTTTAGCACCGTCTGTGCTGGTTTTTCTCATTTGGTAATACAGAAACTGACTTTGCTGAATATGTGATTCTAAATGATTTTATTGTCATCGCACGTGATCTCACAAACTAAGAAAGAAATAGAAAGTAATACATGTTATCTTTAGAGTTCACGTTACCTTTGTTAACAATGGAAGAAAGAAAACGGTAAAACTATCACTCCCTCAGGGCCCTTCATTGTTCCACTATGATTTCTGAAGTTTGACAGTTTGACTGCAGATAAATAAGTTCTATTGTCCCTTCAAAATGCCAGACAGAATTGGAATATCTAACAACAAAGGCACCTTTACAGCACGGCAGAAGACAAATCAGGAGGTCACATGAATTTAGCTGTACATTCTTCTTTACTGACTTGTGCAAATTTGCTTATGTTGTCTCACTCCACATCACATAATGGGAAGGTAAATAAACCCAACCACGCACCAGATAGTTTGCAAAGCTAATGTTTATCTTTAAGGCGTAAACATTTTTGTACTATACATTTCACTTAGTATGGTGCAATGCATTTACTCCATATGTCAATATTGCTTTTCATCTTAGAAGTTGAAGTTGACTCTATATAGCGTCTCTTTCATTAACTCACCTAATAAGTCATTCTGAGGCATCCAATCCACAAGCTTGGTGTTGTTGCCAAGGTTACTGGGTGGAACTCCAGAGAATCTAGGAAAGGAAAGAGGAAAATAATGAAGGTAGGAAGCAGCTTAGTTTCTGTGAGTTATGAAACTTTAGAGCAGATAATGCTGCCCCAGTGTGTGAGAAAACATATTTCATGTTGCTCATCAGAGCAGCTGGTCAGACAGGATTATTTACATACTTTTTCTAATGTACAACACAGAGGATCTTGGCAGAGCATCTTACGAGTACTACTTGGCTTTGAAATGGATGGATTCACTTTTTCACTTAGTGTGTACAGTGTTTACTTTCAGATGTACACTTTGTTTTCCAAATGAAGCCCTAAGGCGTACAGTTACACATGTGTAAATGTTTTACTGACACTGGAACAACCAGTCATCTGTCAGATATGTCAAGCAAAAAAGAAAGAGTATACTTCCTTGACTGGTGACTCTAAATTGTCCGTAGGTGTAAATGTGGCTGGTTGTCTGTCGCCCAATGACATCTGGGTTAAGCTCCCGCCCCCCCACGACCCCAAACGGGAAAAGCGGTAAAGATAATGGATGGATATTTGTTTGTAATTTCATGTATCAACAGTTTTTGACTTGAGTTTAAAGAGTGCTTTCAGTGTTTGGCACCCAAACATGCAAAGTGAGCAGCATATGCACTGTACTACAGTGTGAACAAAGTTTTGTTAAGACTAAGTGAATCATCTTTGCATAATGTTTACATGATGCACAGAGTCGACAAAGGAGAATTCAATGTACATCGATTTACCCTTCAAACAAAGCAGAAAGGCTTTGCCTGTCTAGTCCCAGACATTTAGGTTTCAAACATACGTCCTCTATATGCATGGCTGAATGTGTACAGCATTGTGTGTTTGTTTGATTGCGTCTTAAGTTGTGCGTGTGGGGAAGCATTTTCCAACAAATGCTACACACAATGCATATGTATGCTACATTATACAAACCCCATCCGTTCATCTCTGTCTCCTTCCTCCGAAACTCAGAGCCTTTCATCTCTCTTTCTCTCTTCAACAAAGCACCAATTCACTGTGCTGCCAATCAAAGTCCACATTCATGCGGCCAATTATCAATGACACGATTCATCTGGCCTGGTCCCTGTCCCTCACACGGGCCCTCTCCCTTTTCCATCCTCTTGGAGTGGAGGAGTCACGAAAAGCCAGAATACAATCTAATACTAGAGACAAAGTGTTGGAGCGTATCAGCTGGTCAGATACCTTTTCTGTAAAACATCACCGTCTAATATCTCTTGAGCTGTGAAAAAGAAGAGTGCTCTACAACAAAAGAATGTGTTTCATTTTCATTTTTACAGCTTCTTATTCAAAAGTATCTCACATTATTCCGCACACAACCTTGCATAAAAAGGTAAATCCAGTCTATGATTGCACATAACACATAATAATGATAACACATAATAACTTCAGTCCACAAGCTTTTTGACAACCACTTTAGCGTGAGCAGACATGGCGACCACATTTGGATCATCTTTTATCGCTCTTTTTGACTCTGCCCAGCGTCTTGCATGATCTCCATCCCCCCCAAACCTTTTATAATAAAGTGTGTGTGTTGTTTAACCTTGCTCCTAGCATGCAGCAGCAGGCTTCTAGACCTCTTACTCACCGTTCCACTCTATCCTAGAGAGATATGCAGTTACACAGTCAGTGTGAATAAAGGCTAGGAGGCTAAAATATTGGTACATTTAAAAAAAAAAAAAATGCATCTAAATATCACAGCAACAGTTCAATGGTTTGCCTGTACGATAGGGCTGTGCTCAAAAAATCGATATGGCGATATATCGTCATGGGCTCCTTGCAAAGCTGTCATGACGGTTTTGAAAGACAATTGACATATGGTGCAGTTCACAATAACACCTTTGCCATAGCGCTGGGATTAAAACATTACAATGTATTGCTAGGATCTCTGAGGACATGAACTGAGGAAGGTGTTCTAAGTTGTAGGATCATTTTGCCTCTGCTGTTATTCTCAACAATGAAGAAAACAGCTGTTGTAGTGAATTCTGTGTCGGACATGGTCATTATCCAAAATCAATGTATATCCAATATGTATCGTATCGTGGCCTCTGTATCGTGATATATATTGTATCGTGGGGTTGTGGGAGAAATACCCAGCCCTACTGTACGAGGGGTCATATTTGATCCAAGCTTTACTTTTCCCCCTCTTACTCTCTGATGGTAGATTCATGTTCCTGTTTGCTCTAACAGACTCCCTTCTAAACTGCTTACACCGCTGTAATACGTGTTATAACAGTTAAAAGTCATACTAAGATTACCTCTCTGCTCATGGGTCAATATTCTTACACTTCTTCTCACACTTACATGGTCCCTCAGCAGTCTTTTCCTCAGGTCAAAGTGGTTTATTATTAACATGTTCCTGATACATTGTCACTCGCCGTTGGTTACATATCATGTGTGGAGTCTAGAGGTTAATCTCAACTCTTTAAAAGGCAACTTTAAGAGGCACATTTGCCAATCTATGGGCAATTATTATTAAAACATAATGTTAACTGAGCTGTAAGTGTAAACACAACCTTTTAACCTTTAAACACAATGCTTAAAATGAAGCTAAAAACTAGACCTAAAACTAACAGATGTGAAAATACTCAAAACTTCCACAAAAAGCCTGAAAAGTGACAAGTTCTTTTTTTTTTAAACTGTCATCATGTGCCACAGAGGTTACCTGATCAAAGGTTACCTGGCCATGCTGTCAGGTATATGCCATCATGATAATAGTGTGGTCGTGTGTTTGTCACATTAAACTTAGAGACCAGCCAGCGACCTATGCACAGACATATCCCTGTACCAACCGGTTGCATCATATACCGGTAGGAGAGTCAGCTGACAGCCCTGAGGCTATGTGTGTCACAGGGCAAAGGCTTTGTTCCTGCAGGCTTTATTAATAATGCACTATTTGAACATAGAATGGATTTACATGTTAAGGAGTTCCATTGTGTTAATATAGACATAGGTTGGGGGCAGGTAAATTAAAAACTCTTAACTATATAGAGGTAAGAGTTAAGCATTAACAGGTACAGGTTTGAATTTCAAAGCGCTTTGTTTTCCTTCTATCAAGCCCACGTTCCTCCTCTTGGTTTTTAGCGTCCTCTTGCTCAGGTCATGAACAATAGATCGTTGCTAGGTAAATAATTACAAGAGATAAGATTTGTTTTTTGGACACACCTATCTGTCTCTTACTGGGTCAACACAAACTATTTAGATAACTCTGTGAAGGCTGTCTCATTATTTATTCATCCGGAATACGTATAGCTGTGATTATAGTGGATAACATGCAGAGATAACGCTGCTGTTTATGTGTTTGTTTATCTATCACAAGCAGTTTGTCTTTGCCATGGCTTCATTAAATGGCCTACAAAGTCACACACCGCTGTGGGTAACAGCTATGCTACATTCATGTACCTATATTTACTTGTTTGTGCCCCACTCCATCAAAATGTAAATAATGTTTCTGTTGAGGCTGTATGGGCTCTGCATTAGTGTTTTGGTGTTCTTTTCTTCTGATTTTGTTTTGTTTTTATGCCGATCTTGTGGAACATGGGGGTTGTGTGATAGACATGTTCTTGTTTATTGTTTCTACTGTGGAGGCAGCTTCATGTGTGCAGCACTGGAGTCAAATTGTCCTAAAGGAACAATTAATTATTTTGTATCTTAATGTCTCCTATCTCAATTTATTGTATTATATCATATTTTAATATTTTATTTATTTATTATATTTGTTTGTTTGACAAGGGATACATGCAGTAAACATTGCTTCATATGTCAAATACAACGTAGATGTTACTTTGCAGCCCTTGTCCCTGTCTATAGGCTTTTAGGATTAAAACAGAAGCATTAGACTGAAAGAAATACAGCAACAGTAATACTAGACATATATAGCCAATGAAACTCAATACAAATAGGAGTGTAAAATAAGACCAAACAGTAAAATGAGGATTGTAAGAGAAAACAGTCAATGCTAACAAACTGCTTCAGTCTCAGCCACTGTTTAACTTCTGTCTGTTTTTAGTTTCAGAGGGTTAATGTGTTCCACAGGTGTGTTCCTCTTACTGAGAAGAACCTAATTAAATGTAGTTCTACATTTTGGTGCTTACGGTTTCCATCTGATGTAGCCCTCGTTTGTTCTGATTTCACTGTCGGGTTAGCTTACTAGCTCACAGATTGTTTCTGAAGGGAGGTAATTTAAACGTTTAAAAAGCTGTCAAAGCTCAGTATGTTGTGTTTTTTTAGAACGAGGCAATGGTGCCACATGAGTGATTTCTGATCCATTATTTCCAGTGCCTGCTGTTTATATACCTGACCTGGTGACATCATAGCACGGGCAGCTCAGATGGTACCATATCCACTGCGTGACCTTCAAGTCATAATAAGAAACAGCATGGATGCTAACTTAAAACGTTTAGTATTGTTCAGAGTGGACCTAGGTTACTTTATGTGAGCAGCAGGGACCTTATACTTGTAATAAAATGTAGGTGGGCAGGAGAAAAACATGCACTAAAAACATTTTTAAAAAAAAAGTTTTTCACTAACAAAAGATCTACTGCTGTCGCAATATTTCTGCATGAATAGTCATTTGAAACTGCATGTTCTGATGATCTCAACACAACATGAATAAAGGTTGAAATGCAGCAAGGTGCCCTAATAGTTGAATCCAAAGCATGTGTTAGATCATTAACATCTCTGACATGACTTTGCTGGTTGTTTGAAGCCATCATTAGTCATTTCTCTCTCAAGTTTTCCAAAGATAAGAAGGACAAAGATCGAAGGTGAGAATCTGCTCCTCCATGCTGTTTGATCATCTGGATGACCTCAGATAAAAAAAAAAACAAGGAATGGTCTCCAGACGAGGAATGTCAGAGGAACAACATTTTGTCTTTAATTTATAACGCGTGTTTGTACCGATGGTGTACAGCAGATTATGGGAGTTAATCCTATAGCTAAAATGTGGCGCAAAGAAGAAGAAAGAAAGGATTTACTTTATTGAGCCCCAAAGGCATAAATAACCTGAAGTTTACACAGTTAGAGTAAAGGAAACAAACTTTACCTCCAGACTACACGCTGGGGCAGCCTGGCGAGGGCTCCGGCCAGTTTGTGAGCGATGTCATGGGAAAGGTACTTGACCCCAGCACCAAACGACACAACCACAAAGCCATGCTCCGCTGTGTCATTCACCCAGGCCTCAAAGTCCTGTGGAATCAGAAGAGAGGGACAATGAGCGCTACAAGCAAGCTTATTTCAAAAAGTGTTGTTTGTGCTGTAGTCTGGATGTTTTTTTCAAATTAGTATTGACATCTAGTCCTTTTTTTTTTTAACCTTACCATTCTGTCCTTTTCACAATCAATTTATTTATGTCTATGAAAACAATCAAATATCCAAAACTTTAGTAATAATTGATTATTGCAATGTAATAGCCAAACTCGATCTTCTCTGTGATTGCTTGTCTTTGAAGAGATCAGCAACCACCAAACAGATTCATCATAAAAACTATCTTTATTGCTTTCCATCAAGTTTACTAATGATTCACAATGTGTTCTTCTTATCACTTGTTCTGTGTGATTCATAGCATCCTCAAGTGTGGATTTCAAACCCCCTGAACATTTCAAGTTAACTTTCTGAATTAGAATAAAGCTCGCTGATAACCTGAGTTTGAATTAAACAATCGTTTAACAAATGAGACCCTAGCTATTCAACTGCAGCTGCAGGTATGGGCTGTAAATAATACCAGGAAGACTGCGGTTGTCAAAGTTTTTGATAATTCCACATGGTTTGATCATTTTTTGTTATCACGTTTTACAAAGATGCGACCTCTGTTATCTTATTGGTTGATTGTATCGAAAAGTACCAAACTACATCCATTTCATGTAGGTGAGAGGAATGAATCTGTCAAAAAATTGCAAGCAAATCAATCAAAATTGTCAAAAAATTATTTTTGATTATAGAAAAACAAGAAATGAGCAGATGTCGGGTGTCTAGGATTCTATTTTGGCTGCCATGGTGTTGAAGCCTCGTGAACATCCTAGTTCAGTTGTTCTTGTTTTACAAAAGTGTCAAATAATGCAGGAAGCTGTTAAAAACAAGGTAATGACTCAGAACTGCGAGTAAGGATTATATGAGCCTGCTGTTTGTAACCTTGTAACCACTTTGGCATTTTACAAACAAAACAGTATTACGATACGTTCACTTTTTTTTAACAGATCAGTATCTTTTTTGGGAAGGATGACTGTGCTGTATCTCAAAGACTACATCCTGGTCATGGCCCAATGGCAATCTCCAAGCTCAAATATTTTAAGGCATGTTCTTGGTAAGTGTGTGAGTGCTTAAGAGTTATGCAGTCAAATTCTCAAGTGTGTGAGGGCCCTGATGCAAACTCTATCAAATGATCATCAGTCAGCATATCTGCAGACATTCCTGTGGGACTCACCCAGAGTAAAGTAACGCTCTTATAATGAAGTAGTGTACATTTTCAAACATGACAAGTAAACCACAAATAAGTTGAAGTGAATAACTCTAAGAGAGTCTGCAGGGGCAACATGTAGGCTAATGAATCACTGTTGGTGGCACTTATTCAACTTAATTAATTCAACCGAGAAATATGTAACTCTTACACGTAGAGTTTAAAGAGTCGATGCACATGCAGGTTTCCATGACACGGACAGGGAAGCTTCAGTGTTTAACCAGCTCTGCATAAGTCTTGAAACCTTTCTGCGTTCTTCTAACCTCTTCAAATTCTAAAATTCTTATCCTAGTTTTACCACATTTCTGGTCGTGGAGCTTATTAGAAAAATGCTGAGGCTTTTTAGGTCGGGTAGAATTAGTCATATCTGAACCATTTGGCTTGCCTGCCTCCATCGCTGCAACGCCTGTTGGTTTGCCGTCATAGCTGGTCTCGTATCTGGCAAACTTAGGGGCATCTAAAAACGGCTGTGTGGGGATGCCTTAAAACTGCCTACCTTCTCTGGTCAAAACAAAAACAAACCATTATGGACCGGAATGGAAACTTAGAAGGGGGACATACTGGCTGTCGTGTTGTTGTCAGAGAAGCCAGCATTTCAACATAGCATGTTTTCCTTGAGATATATATATTTATATATTTACATATATACATTGTAATGTAAGACCCACAAGAGGACATGGAGGTTGGCTTTGTTGTTGTTTAATGCTGCACCAGATGTGTGTATGTGATGTCAAGAAAATGTGAGCTATCCTAATTTTTATACCATCCTCAAGCCCTAACTGACTCATGCTCTGCCCACCTGACATCATTAAATCATTAACGTCTGTGAGGGCTCTGTACTCTGTCTTTAAGGGGATGGGGGATGGTGGGGGTCCTGTGCATAGACTGAAAATATTCCTAAATATGTCCTGTCACTCTTTTTTTTACAGTGATTCCAAAGGCAAAAAACTGGAACAAATTGTTCTTGTTTTTTTACTTACTTTATAATTTAGTAAATTGGGACACTTGAGTGAAAAACACACCACTTTATATAAGGCTGGCAAGTAGTACCTTTTTTTAGTAAGACATCATCCATCATCTTACTCTCTACAAAGCACTGGTATTATACAAAATGACACCTGTATGGATGATCTTCACTGACGAATAACTTGAAACTTGAAAAACAAACAAAGGCTAGGCTTCTAAGGGAATGGTGAGTTGATAGATACACTTCATTATATGAGGGGGGACACTTGGCCTAGACTCTCAACCCAACTGATTGAGTATAATTTACAACACACCATAAAATGACAACCAACAATCCCACATAACAAATATTCTACATGGCAACACTAAGGTCCATTCTTAAACAGTTAACAGCCACGCTTTATTTACTTTTAGTGTGGCACAGGCCTTACAGACAATGTCTGATTTAAAGAAGAGAATAGTGTTTTGAATAATTGGGTTGTTACGCAGCCACATCACAACACTCAGAGCTGAAACGTATGAACTGAACAGTGGCTAAGAGGGATCAGGAAGCAGCCATGTTGGAGGGAAAGAAGTGGAGGATGGGTAGAGGGAGGGAGGCAAACGCTCCAGCTGTGGTCGGCCCTGGCACGGAGCAACCTAAGGGGCACACTGGGCCCTACTGTCCCCACAACGCAGCCTCAGTGACCCCATAAAAGAGTCTCAGTGTCCCCGGAGCACTGCCTGGAACAATGGTCTCGTTCTCCCACCACTTCCATTATGACTCCCTCCACAAAACATGGCACAATGCTCGCTATTGGCTGGGCAGGCATTCCAAAACCCCACGCAGTAGATACCGATGGTCCTTGCTCGCCGCATCCAAACGTTAGCTGGACTAAGCCACCGTCATCACCCGCCTCTGCTCTCCATGACTCCCCTCCCTCTATGCTTAAAAATCCAACACATCTATGCAATCCAAACCCATCCTCACCCAAGCATCGTCTAGGAAGGAGCACTTTATGGAAGCTAATAAGAGATACAAGTAAAGGGTAAAAGCAAGGGTCGATACAAAAAACACTGAATTGTAAAGAGAGGAGAGTTAAGGTAAGGATTTGAACATCCCGATTGTAATGTGCCAGTGCCAATCCTTGTGTACTAAATATAAAAAAAAGTATTGTAATTCATGGCAGTTGCACACATGGTAAAGGTAAAGTCAGTAAAAGGTGGCTGTTAGAGACCTGTCGATGTAGGAAAACACAAAAGAGTAACACCTAACACACTGGCTCTCCATCCTGCCACGCAAACCACACAATTTACATGATCTCATAGTCAAACTTTCTTGTAGCTACCTTTATTTAACCACAGTAGTGCTGTACCTTCGTCACCAAGACACAGAGCCCTCATCTCATGTTCAGCACTCAGAGGGAGCACTTAAGCACCACATATGGACACAATTATGACCTTTTTTTTTTACATATATGGACTAAGACACATAGCACGTTTCTTATTGTGTGCGAACTAACCAGACACAAGCATTGAGACTCCATAATAATATACAGTATAAAAACATACAATGAGATGACCTAAATTTGTCACACACATATTTTTCCCACATGATTATACTGTAAACACTTATTTGTGTATAAGGCCATGGGGTGGAAATTGAGTATCAATTATATAATAATAAGGATAACAGAGAATTCTATATGAAGTATGAATGAATGTGACTCCATGTACTTCCACTAGGACGCACATATTTAAAAAAATGAATCAGACAAGATCCCTCCAGTACAAACTCTTCATTTGCTTGTATTTTGTGTTTGTATGTAGTCTTTTTGTGTACTGACCTGTGGCAGTGGGTTGGGGGGCTTGGTAAGGATGCCTCCTATGTACACCACATGAGGAAGGGTGGGCCTGGGGAACTCCAGAGCCATGTCAGTGCACAGCATCCAAAGCCTGCTGCCCTGCACGAGGTCCGCCATGGCCACCTGAGGCTTCACGCCATACTTCTTCATAATCCTGTCATACTTGGGTAGAGCTATATAATGGACTCCAAAGCGCTGCACCAGGTAAACTGCCGTGTTGCTGATCCTCTGGAGTAGAGTCATGCGGTCTGTCAGCAATGAGTTGAATTCGGGAACGTATGAAAGTGGGGCCGGAGCACCCGCCTCAGCAGGATACCATAGGCCTGTGCTGAACACTGCATACTTTACACCCAGGATATGAGCAATCACAAAACCGCACATCTCATTGGGGTCCACCAGCAGCAGGTCAAACTTGGCTTCCTTGAGGCGAGTCATTACCTCGGTGTTACCGACCACAGCATCACAATTCTGAGAGTAATGGTCAAGAATGTCAAACAGTTCTAGAAATGTCAGGCGGCCTGAGAAGATGTTAGACACTTTAGACTGGAGGAAATTGTCAGCTGTGGTGCTGTTAAAGATCCCAGCATACCGCTGAAAATGATAGTGAGAAGAGGGGGGCACCTCACGGCCCTCTGATATTAGAAAATGGGTTTCATGGCCCTCCTGGTGCAGGGCTGTGGCCAACGTTTTGAAGATGTAGAGGTGGGATTCAAACATGATGGGCGGGACCACAATCACTTTAGCAGCCCATGAGGCACTGGGGCTCCAGGTGAGGAGGGCGAGGAGGAGGAGTAGTGATGAGGGTAGTAGCATGGCTGTAATGATGGAAAAAAAAGAGCCATGTTATTGCCTGACAATACAATTGTCATAAATAGTTGTAAATACATATTAAAATACCAGAAGTATCAAACAACAGTTTTCCTTCCTGATAACGATACCTCAATTTGATTACCAGCCTATACCTAGTTTGCCTCTGGTACTAGCGAAACACAAAATGTACATCATGACTGGTGGAAAAAACTGATTGCTGACATATTTCTGGCTTTAACCATCAAATGTAAAAATCATGGACATTGACTCAGGGATGTCACACATCAGTTTTTGAAAACACCATGAGATGACAGTTTCTATAATGGAAATGCTAATTCCAACTAACTTACAGCTATCTGAGAAGCACACTAGAGGTGAAGATAAGGTGGGTCAAATGACCGGTATCTGGTCATGTGGCTTGCACATTCCAAACAATGAAAACAACACACACAAAGCCGACAGTTTATCGGACTAAGCTAAAATAAAACCTATCCTTCTGGCAGACAGATACAGCCATGGCCTTATTATGCTCAACTCTAAGCCTTAATGACAACAAACCAAACAAGCCACACATGAAAAGCTTGAAGTGGACACCTGAGGAACTGCAGTCTTTTGTACTCTTGCTGCATTTTTTTAATGCCAGAAATTTGCCGCTGGCTCTGACCTACTTTTAACTTTCCACTGCCCTGGCAATGTTTTTCATTTTGGTGTGATCATTTACCTAAAACTGTTGGGGGGGGGGAGTAGTAATTATGCTGTTGGTTTGGTTCACTGAATGGCAAATCTGGTGTACTGTATACACCAATACAGATTTTGAAAATACTGCTATTATTGTTAGTCAAAATGGTTGATAAAATCAGCACCCAGTAAAAGTAAAGAAGTATGTTTTTTAGAGTGTCATCATAAAATTATACCTACTCTTTAAACCTATAACAACAACAGCAAAAAACATAATTCCTAATAAGAGGAGACAACATTTTCAAATATTATATATATCAGGATGATGATTCTAAACTCCACCTCTCCCCAGTTCTGTCAATCAGACAGAGAATAGTAATAAGAGAACAAAACCTCTCAGTATCTGCATGGTTACATGTTTTAATCCTCCATTATTTACAATTCCCTATAATCAACTTTCTCTCTCCATATTTCGATTCCACACTCACAATGCACAGCCATCACTGACATGGTGTGGGTAGCACCAACGTCATTCTAAACCCCCAGGCGCTCTATTCACAAACGCAAAGACAATGAGCCGTTATCATGCCACCACGTCGTAGCCTGTGCCCTATATGCCTACACTCTCTGTGTCCCTCTCGCTGGGATTAATCATCTACACTGGAAACCTTTTAACGGCGGGCGATCAATTATCCATCTTTTACATCTGCAATGAGTAACCCATTCTCTCCTTCCATAGGGTGTCCCACCTTAAGAAAGGACCTGACCTCTGGAGGAAACTCTATAAATACAGCTCAAGAGTGATTGCAGCCCATTGCAGCCCATTGGGTGACTTTAGATGTTCTTTTTTTTTTGCGTGGATTTCATTTCACAATCGAAACACCTTGAGATCAGAGGAGGCTGCAACAATTTGTAGGTGTGGATTTGAACAAGATACGTATCAAAGGGCTTGAAACACATGACAGGATCTTAACATGGTTGGATACTGTAGTGCATCAGCCACCTGTTAATCCTCAATATGAAGTTTCTTTTGCAGACAGCTGGGGCCTGGTAGGAACTCAAGGTGGTGGCCATTTTGTTGAGCAATGTCCCGAGGATAGCGTTGCAAACGCTTCTCAGGCCAGACTGTTGATGGTAACTATAGAAACCAGCGTCTGTCGACTGAGGACTGTGATGCGTCATGACTTAAATTACTGACAATGGAGTTTGGTTACGCAGCGCACAAGGTGAGCTGAGGGAATTATCTAGATTAAGAAAATTAAAGACTTTGAACAAGCGGCTAACTATCTTACTTTTTTTTACCTGTTGGATGGATGCCTGGGTACAATGCCCAATCTTATAGATATATATAGATATATATATATATATATATATATATATATATATATATATATATATATCTATATATTTTTTTTTTAATGGGCAATTTTGCCTTTATTGAATAGGACAGCTGAACAGAGACAGGAGATGCTGTAAGGAGAGAATGGAGGATGACATGCAGCAAAGGGCTGGATTCGAACCCACAACCGCTGCAATGAGGACTAGTGCCTCAGAACATGGGGAGTGACACATAACCACTAGGCTATCCGGCACCCCCAATGCTCAATGTTTAACACCAATTTTGATGCAGTCTGAAAACGCTCAAACTATGTATCTGCTACTCACAGAGTAATTAGTACAAATTAAGTCCTAAAAAAAAAATATGGGATTTTTTTTTAGATTCAAGCAGGTCATATTGCAAACACAGGTGTTGTGTAAATCACAAAGAACAGCAGATAGACATAGAAATTAGAGTTGTAGCTCATATGCACAAGGGCCCTATACCGATATGGGGTTTTTGCGTCCGATACCGATATTAGGGAGAATATAGCGATATCTTTCTTAGATCTATGTTTCGATATGTAGCAATAGATAAATATAGATGTACACATTTCTTGCATTGATCCCTCAAATGCAGTAATCAAACACGCGTTGAAAGGTTATATGACGAAGAAAAGATGGGCACTCAACTTGAACTGCACGTGTTCACTGCATCACCGCTCGACACTGTGGAGAGTGATAACGCTTGTTGTAATCCATATAAAACACTCTAGTTAGTTAGTTAGCTAGTTAAATTTAATGAAACTCAAATGAAATGCTATTTACTGGTGGATTAATGTAGTTGTATCAGTGCATATCTATATACCGATAGTGACTTGATGCGCTAATATCGGCCTATATTATCGGCTGACCGATATGTTTATTTATCTCACTTTGTACCCTTTTTGCAATAACAAACAATGATATGGCACATCCATACTGTCTCATATCACACAGGCTTAGTTACAAGTCATGTTTAATTAATGTTTCCCATGTACATTTTGTACCAAACTGGACTTTAAATTGATTAGCTTAAATTTCAACAACTGCATCTGAAGTTTCCCAATGCATCAACTACTATTGTAGGCAAACTAAGAATGATTTAGTTAAAGTGTTCTTATAGTAAACTGTGAAAACAGCATTTATTGGTTATTTTGTGTAGCTGAATACCACTTGAATAGACCACATGTTGTGAATAATACTCATCACAATGTCTCTTCTCTGATTGATTGGCCTGTACTACAGCTGTGGATTGTGTGTAAGAGAAAATCTAGCTGATTACAGCCTCCACAGGAAGAATGTTCAACCATTAACAGTAACACAAGCTGGTTATTATATAGTAATTACCCTTTCTAATACCATAATCTAGACTGACATTAGCTACATTTAGCACAGCAGGAGATGCAGCCCTGCTGCACACTCAGTGGGGGTTCATTATCTCAACACTCCGTGCAGGGAGGGTGAAATTTGACTTCCAAGAGCTGATATTAAGTCAAATACAAGCTAGACCAAAACTGTTTATTCTCCCTCATATCTTTGAGAAGGAATGTGACTAACTTATCTTGGGTTTGTTTGCTGCAAACGGAAGAAAAATGGGGTCCCTGGAAGGGCACGAACGGCTGGGCGGCTTTAAACAGGATGGTATTAATAGTATAAAAGATACCGACCAATGGGCTGTGACAATCTGGTCACTTCAGCTTCCGCATCATAATGAAACGCTTGCTGAGAACCGGAAACCTATCAGACTGTAATTATTGCTGCTAAGATGCCAACAGCTTCACTTTAAATGTCTGCTACAAAGTATCTGTTAATAATATGTTCATTAATTAGACTAATGATGTTATACTGGGGAAACAAAAGTACTCTGTCTTCTTTGATCTAAGTAGACAGGGGGATTATAGGGCATGCCACTTCATGGATAAATTAAGATTACAAGTTTTGAATTAAGGGAAAACAAACAGAGAGTGGAACACAGATATTGACTGTCCCATGCCAAGGTAGAGGCTGTTAAAAAAAAAAAAAAAAAAAAAAAAAAAAAAGGATGTGAATGTTGCTGTAGGCCATATTCCGCCCAGAGTCATAACTCATAGGAGGATATGCCAGCCAGTCTAAATCCAGGTGTGGTTTAACCTTTACCCATTATAACAAGGTTAGGCTTTAAAAGCACACCTCAAAGCACACACAAGACTGTTTGAGTGCTCAACCAACACCACATAGAGTCTCTCGAGGACATATTAATCCCAGTCAAGCCATCGCAGTGTGACGTTGTCAAGCGAGGAAGTGCTGGTGCAAGGTTGCCGACAATTCTCCCCTGTAGATTCAAAGCAGAGGTTTTTTTCCCTCTCTTAAACATTAGGAGTTTTGCGTCTCTTCAACAGGATTGGCACAGGTGTGTTTAGATAAGTTATTTCAGAGTTTAGATAAGAAGTTTTCACCTCCCAAAAGCTGCTGACTACAAAGGGATCATAAATTATTATGTGTACAATTAGGCCGCAGGCGTAATAGGCTAAGCCCTGTCTATAGTTTCAATGGTCTGTGTTCCATAGTTCTGCTTATCTGTCGCATTAACAGACAGCCAAACTATCCGAGTGCATGAAATGGGTTAAAAAAAAAAAGCTTTTATTACAGGCTCTGGGACACAAAGACTAACTTCACATCAGGTTAAAAACTGACAATGTAAGTAGGACACATTTGTGTGAGAATCAACCCACTGCTGAGTTGAGGAGCCTTATCATGTTCACGTTTTCTTTGAGGATGATTCTCAAAGGACCTGAACGCAGCACAGCAACCTGCTACACAGGTGAAACTCTAGAGGTTTCATGTGACACCTGAGCTTTCAGTTAAAAAAAAAAAAAAAAAAAACAGCCAAATAGCACAGACCGGTGCCTAACTCTCACCTTCACCGACAATAGCTGACACTTTGCTCTTATAAGCATGTAAAAACAAAGTAAATATGGAGTTTTGTAGACTTAAGTTTACTTTGCACCTGTTACTAAACGTGCAGGCATTAACCTGCTGTTCCGGCCTTACCTTGTCACTTGAATGTTGCCCAGGAGAGGCGGGGATTAAAAAAAAAAAACTGTTGTAGTCCAATTTTCTTCCAAAAAGTCTCGGGAAGATAAAACACAAAAATAAAAAGTGGTGAGGGCTAAAGTAAAATGAGTCCCCTGATATCGACGGCGTGCAAGGGGAACATTAAACTCGCAGTCCCTCTCCCAGGGGCGGTGACAGGCGGGACTAGCGCTGTTTATGGAGATGGAGAGCCAAGAGAGCGCCGGAGGGAGGAACAAAACTGAGAGTGTGGTTGGTTGAGAAAGCAAAACAAGGGTGGAGTATCGACTCATGCAGGTGCCCTGTGACAGGTGACTCTATGTTGATACTTTACAT